CTTCAGACTTGGTGCATGCCAGCTGTACCAGCCGGAATGCACCAACACTCCTCCCCGTGCATGAAGTGGCTGTTTTGAGCCTTTGCACCCCTTTTCCTTCTAGAAGGTTGAACCCTTTGGCCAAGCTTCTTGAGGAAGCTTGGCCAGCTGTCCTAGCTTCCTCAAGAAGCCTTGACTCCTTTGCCCCCTTTGCCCCTTTCACTTAGCTTCTTTGAGAAGCTTAAACCATTTCCCTTTGCCTATATAAGGACCTCTCTTCTACCATTGTCAAGGGTTGGTGGTTTTGAAAGAAAAACCAGAGCTTATACATATATATATCTGATATATACACCCTCTCTCTATATATATTTTACTCTCTCTCCTCCCTTGTGTGTGTTTTGTGGTCTAAAAGTGCATTTTTACCTTAGTTTTGCACTAAGACACACACTACCACACCTTGGTTCGAGTTTGAGAGACATTGAGGGTTGATTCTTAAGGTTTTGGACTGATTTTGGTCAGAAAAGAGTGGCGCTCAGTAGAGTGTGGCTGGACCAACTGTTTTTGAAGTGTTCTTCAAGGGTAAGACTTTCACTTTATTATCCCCAATCTTGCATTGGCTTTTGGCCTATCTTGAATATTGATTTGAGCTTTGTGTATAACTAAAAAAAGTCTTATATTTTCATGCTTAAGAATTGTCATTAAGGGTGTTTTGGCATTGGGGGTTGAAATCCCCCTCTTAGGTCTCTTTTGGCCCCTTTTGGTGTCTTTTTCTTTAAGACTTATTCGCTTTGCTGTATTAGCCTTCTCACCATTGAAATCCAGTGGATTTTCAGTGGTGAAGAAGATGGTTTGAAATCTTATATAGGGGAGGGATACCCCTCTCCCTTTGTGTCTCATTTGTGCATGTTTTGGGCTCATAAGGGTAGCATATATGCTTGGTTGTTTTTGGCTCCATATCAGATGTTTTTGGTGCTATTTAGGTCACATGTTATCTCTGTTTTTGGTCGGATTGGTGGCCCTTTGCATGCTTAACATACTTGCTTTGTATTTTGGTCGGATTGGTGGCCCTTTTCATGCTAAACATACTTGCTTTGTATTCCCTTGTTTGTGCCTAGAAATGCATCGTGACTTTTGACTACAATGCTCTCATACTTTGGCTTCACTTTGTGAAGTTCTTGACTATATTTTGTCATGCATGAGGTCTGTTGGCCACTGATTTGGTCTTGTTTAGCATGCTTGATATAGTTGCTTTGTGAAGTTCTTGACCATATTTTTTCATGCATGAGGTCTGTTGGCCACTAATTTGGTCTTGTTTAGCATGCTTGATATAGTTGCATTGCATTTTGGATCATGAGCCTTGAGTGTATGGATCATTAACATGCCTAGCTTGGCCTATTATCATCATTTGGCAGTAGTTGAGATCATATTCCAGTCCATATAATGTGGTCTTACATTGTCCTTTGTGTCTCTTTCAATGCCTTGAAGTGTTGTGTTTTCATGCCTTGACATGTGCATTGTGTATGCCTATGTGTTTGGGTCATTTTAGGGCCGCCATACCAGCGGGTTTTGGAGCTATTTTGCATGCTAAAATTCTGTTTTTGGGTTGTATAGTTCATGCCATGCTTGTTTGGGTTAGTGGTAGTGGAGTGCCCTGTTGTTATGCCTTAGCCTTGGGCCCCTTTTGACTTGCATGCTTGTAGTGCATTTTGTCCATCACTTGAGACACTTTTGGCCACTGTTTTTTTGAGAGAGAGGGTTTGAGGCCTCCCATTTCAGTCTAAGTCCCTTCTCGGACATGGTTGTATGCGTGACTTGTTGCCTCTAACCGCATGCTTGCATTGTACCATATTAGCATTGCATGATGAGTTGCATTGTAGCATTGCATGTTAGGAACATTACATGCTTGCCATGATATGTTACATTACATTTGGCATGCTTTGCATTTTAGTGATATGTTGCATTTTTGAGCCATGTTTGCATAACTTGCATTGCATTGCTTGGTTTGGGGTGTCAAACCAAGTGTGAGAGGGGGAGAAGTGTTCATACTACAAGTGATATAACGCGTCCCAACTCTCGGTCACTGAGACCCTTGACTTTGGCATGATAGGGTTTTCGTATTCATTTATATGTTGCATGCATTTTCATTGAATTGCAACCTTGGCTCCTTAGGCCATCACGCATCAAAATGCATGATTGATGGCCCGAGGGTCGAGGGTCATGCTCCCTTGAGTCCCTTGCATGATAGGGAGTGTGCCTGCGCATACATCTGCTTGAAATTCCATGCCATACACTGTCTGTCCTTGTTGTTGTCAAAAACCAGTTTCTGCAGGGAGTTTTTGCCGACCGGCAGTGTAGAGTGCCGACCGGCAGTGTAGATTGCCGACCGGCCATGGATTGGTGGCCGATAATATGAAACCCCAGCTGATGGATAAGTTCCATAGCCGGTGGGTATTCCCTTCAGTCGATGGTGTTCTACAGGGTTCAGGGAACCTGTCCCAGGATTTTGGCAGTTTTCAGAGAAGCAGGGCAGTGTAAATAGAGGCAGCAGTGGTATGGTACGGGCTTTCGGGGCAAGATAAATCCGAGCATACATCATTCACGCATCCCGAGGTGGGGGGCTGCGGCCATCTTCTCTTTGCATCTAATTTGTTAATTAGATTAGAAATTTTGTAATATTTAATTTAGTATTATTTATTCGGACTGTAATATTTATTCGGACCCTCCGAGCGAGGGCAATTGTGTAATAAGTGTGCGTGAGTGTGTGTATGTCTTCCAACCCCACGTCTTTCTTCCTTTTTATTTACCCGCTTATGATGGTAGACTAGGACATATTTAACTTAGCATACCTTATGCTATGCATGCGTGCGTCCACACATTTGTCTTACATGCATCGGGCTCGGCGCATTACTCTAATTGTATTTGTATTTTAATTTCAAATTGAATACGTGTTAGTTGTAGCATTTCACATGTCATTGTAGATTAGCCGAGCCTATCTTAGTTGCATTTTGCATGTGTTGCATTAGCCATCTTAACATGAACTAGGATCATGCATATGATTACTAACTAGTTTTTGTTTTGGCTCGGAGTACTCGGTAAGCATTTATGCTTTAGCATACCGCATGCGTGTGAGTGTTGCCATAACAGCATGATTACCATGAGGCTAGCTGCTTATGTGATATAACTACTTGAATGCCTGTGGATGGAGGTCGAATTGCTTAAATTGGGATAACGCATTAAAACTGTGAATTTTAAGCCCACTAGATAGTGGCAAAACCATCTTTTCTAAAAGCCCACTTGAGGGTGGCAAAACCTGCATTTTAGCCTACCTTGCAAGTAGCAAACCAAGTGGCCTCTTAAGGTAAGTATCTAAATGAATTTATTTCGCTCATTTCTGTCATCCCATGGTTAGTAGAGGCCGATCTTCGGATCGGGCGAGAGGGGGTGCTCATAGCTGACCTTCCCCAATCGTACCCAAGTTCCCGAGCCGAGGCAACTTTGGTGATGATGGACACGTGGCCTTTGGCACCGAGTCAGGGTTTCTTAAATTCTCCCAAAATAAAATATTTAGGTGGCGACTCTGTATCTAGCAAAGCAGTCCATGTTTGGCACTTTTTTCAAAAATCTGTTTTCTCAAAACGATTTGCCATATTTGGACTCTTTGGTTCAGATTAAGAGCCGTGACACAAATCGAGTCCAAACTGTAGCGGGGTCCCTCGCGGACGTGTTACACTATGAGCCTTACCACTATCACTTCACCCAACCGTGCTTGACTCGTATCCAAGGCTTGTTGGTCTCCCTTCCACCAAGTACACTGTTGTGTAGTCCCAATCCTGATTTATTTCTCCTAACCGTGCTTGACCTGTATCCAGGACTTGTTGGTCTCCCTCCCACCAAGTAGGGTCCGGATTCTCGGCCGCCCTTCTCGAGGGCCCTTTCCTGCAGCCCCCAAAACGACGTCGTTTTGGGGGCAAATTTTCAAAAAAAAAAAAACGCAAAGGAAGAGGGAGGAAGAAGGAAGGAGGAGGAGGAGGTGGATGAGGAAGGAAAGGGCTGGACTGGAGGGGCCTATAATCACAGGGGGAGGAGGAGGAGGAGGAGGCGGAGGCGACGGCGACGGCGGTCGCAACTGCTGCGACGAACTGGAGTTGCTGCGACGGCGGGTGGCGAGGGACGAGCTGCGATGGCAGGCGGCGAGGGACGAGCTCGCAGCCTCCTCCCTCCTCCTCCTCCCTCCTCCTTCCTCCCTCTTCCTCTGCGTTTTCAGCCGCAGGCAAGGACGACCGAGGATCCGGATTCCACCAAGTAAACCGTTGTGTGTTTAGCAAACTGTTGTCTGGTGTCACTTTAGACCTCGATTTCCATGCTTGCAAAGACTGATTTTTCTGTGGTACATAGGGATGGCAATGGATAACCTACCCTGTGGGTATCCATGGAGACCCAACCCAAATACATGGGTTTTCCCCTCTTTTTCTTATCCATTGGGTAGGGTAGGTGATATTCTTTAAATATCCATAGGGGATGGGTTGGTTTCTTCATCATCTCTTCTTAACTCTTTCTTTATTAGGTTATTGGGCCCATTTTTTAGTCTAATTTTGATAATTCGAATCATTCACATTTTAAGATTTGTTAAGTATATCATACCTGTAAAAAATTAAATTGATGATATATTAAAAATTAAGTGTTCGAATCATCGAACTAAAATTTTTTTTTTTTTTTAAATTTAATAAACAGTTTTCTAAACACATGATTTCTAATATCTGACCAATTTAATTTTTTATAAATATGATATATTCAATAAATTTTAAAACGTGAACAATTCAAATCATCAAAATTAAATGCAAAAATAAATTCGATAATCTAATAAGGGAGGACTTAAGGAGAGAGATAAAAGAAGGTCTTGATTCGCTATATGGACAGTAAAATTGTGCCACGTCATTTTATCTTTTTTATGATTATTAATTGAGTGGAGTGGTCATTATCTGTATCCAATGAAAGACAGTGGAAATTGCAATTTTCTGATGCACAAACAAATGGGAGAAGCCTTTCATTTCAACTACAACGATGTTGATACTTCTACTCCTCCTCTTCACCTTCCTCAGCCCTAGTTTCACCTTTGTCGACTCCTTCAATTTCTCATTCCCTTCCTTCAACTCCGGAAGCTGCACCAATGGCGGCAACTTGATTTGCAGTGTCTCCGCCACTGCAAGCAATGGGACTTTGAACGTGAAGTCGGATCACCAACAACAACAGCCGAGAGATCCACCGCCGATAAACCAGATCGGACGGGTGTTGTATAAATATCCGGTGATCGGATGGCCGGCGTCTATACGCACCACTTTCAGTATTAGGATACTGACTGACTGACCCCAAGGATTTGGTGATGGAATGGCGTTTGTTCTGGTTCAGGATCGTGCACCCTCTCCTCCCAACAGCTTTGGCTGTTTTCTTGGTATCTTTGATCAGTCTACTCAAGGTCTATGTTCTCTTCCCTATCTCTTTTTTTCTTTTCTATTTTTTTTTTTTAGGAAAAGTTTACCAATATTCTAGAAATTTTGTGAAGAAAATTATCAGGCAATGTGTGATTGAGGTTTAATTAATATATTGTGTGGTTTATGTATAAAATGAATTAGGGTGATGCTCTTAGATAATATCCTAAATAAAAATTGAGTATATATTATTTTAAGGGACTTTTGCAACTAGTTTCTTTCATTCTTTTCTTTACTTTCCTCTCTTTTATATATCTTGGGAAATAACAAACACATATTATCAACTTAGAAATTTTATTCCAATTTTACTAAACATCCATCTATGGTGCTTTTTTAGTTTGTTGCAGGGGTTTTTGCTTTGCTACTTTGCTGTTTGTTTTTTAGTTGGTTTCTCACAAATCTTTGATAGTGTTAGCAAATGATTGGGCATGCATCTCTGTGCTAACATTGTTGGAATTGATTTATTTCGTTATGATACTCTTTGTCCTTATCATTTTTTTTTATTGATGTAATATTTTTTATTTTCATCAAAAAGGTTCTTTCTTTTGCCAATAAAAAAAAAAAAATCCATTTATAGTTTAGATTGATTTATATGATTACCCTACAATTAATTACCCAGAAAATTATCGGTCGCACTATAACGTTTCTGAATAACAAATGCAACTAAGATGTGGAACCTTAAATTGTGACCCTTTTTTCCAAATTTTTCTCACAAAAATTTCATTTTAATCAAATGCTTACAATAAATGTATATGTTTCTTTACTTCACTCTCTTTTAATTTCACTTTTCACAATTTTTTGAAGTTTAAAACCCACAAAAAAACAAAAACAAAAACAAAACAAAAAAAACAAAGAAACAGAGTCTAAAAGATTGATCTCAGAGTAATTGATGTGTACAGTTATTATTACAGGTGTAGTTCATCAACTTGCAATAGAGTTCGACACGTACAAGAATGAATTCGACCCGGATGATAACCACATCGCAATTGACACCGTAAGCGTACAAAGCCCGGTTGCGGTGAAGAGCCTCAACAGCACCGGAATAAATCTCAAGACGGGTAGAGAAATAACGGTTCGGGTCGAATATAATGGGTGGACCAAGAATCTTCAGATTTTTGTCGGGTATAATGGGGATCCACTAGTGAGCTTTCTCAATCATACAATGAAGTTGCGGCATACAGTTCCTAGCCCTGTTTACGTGGGCTTCACAGCCGCCACAGGTAGTTGGGGAAAATCCATACCCATTAAAAAATGGGGAGGGTGGTACCCATGGGGAATGGGGAATGGGGAATGGGGAAAATTTATTATAGGGAAATGGGGATGGGGAATTAATATCCACCCCATTGCCCCCCATTGCCATTCCTAGTGGTACATTCTAGATGGGAATCATGATTTTCTTCATCATCTCTCTTCTTAACTCTTTCTTTATTAGGTTATTGGGCCGATTTTTTAGTCTAATTTTGATAATTCGAATCATTCACATTTTAAGATTTGTTAAGTATATCATACCTGTAAAAAATTAAATTGATCATATATTAAAAATTTCGAATCATCGAACTAAAAATTATTTTTTTTTTAAATTTAATAAACAGTTTTCTGAACACATGATTTCTAATATCTGACCAATTTAATTTTTTATAAATATGATATATTCAATAAATTTTAAAACGTGAACAATTCAAATCATCAAAATTAAATCCAAAAATGAATTCGATAATCTAATAAGGGAGGAGAGATAAAGGAGAAGGTCTTGATCCGCTATATGGACAGTAAAATTGTGCCACGTCATTTTATCTTTTTTATGATTATTAATTGAGTGGAGTGGTCATTATCTCTATCCAATGAAAGACAGTGGAAATTGCAATTTTCTGATGCACAAACAAATGGGAGAAGCCTTTCATTTCAACTACAACGATGTTGATACTTCTACTCCTCTTCTTCACCTTCCTCAGCCCTAGTTTCACCTTTGTCGACTCCTTCAATTTCTCATTCCCTTCCTTCAACTCCGGAAGCTGCACCAATGGCGGCAACTTGATTTGCAGTGTCTCCGCCACTGCAAGCAATGGGACTTTGAACGTGAAGTCGGATCACCAACAACAACAGCCGAGAGATCCACCGCCGATAAACCAGATCGGACGGGTGTTGTATAAATATCCGGTGATCGGATGGCCGGCGTCTATACGCACCACTTTCAGTATTAGGATACTGACTGACTGACCCCAAGGATTTGGTGATGGAATGGCGTTTGTTCTGGTTCAGGATCGTGCACCCTCTCCTCCCAACAGCTTTGGCTGTTTTCTTGGTATCTTTGATCAGTCTACTCAAGGTCTATGTTCTCTTCCCTATCTCTTTTTTTCTTTTCTATTTTTTTTTTTTAGGAAAAGTTTACCAATATTCTAGAAATTTTGTGAAGAAAATTATCAGGCAATGTGTGATTGAGGTTTAATTAATATATTGTGTGGTTTATGTATAAAATGAATTAGGGTGATGCTCTTAGATAATATCCTAAATAAAAATTGAGTATATATTATTTTAAGGGACTTTTGCAACTAGTTTCTTTCATTCTTTTCTTTACTTTCCTCTCTTTTATATATCTTGGGAAATAACAAACACATATTATCAACTTAGAAATTTTATTCCAATTTTACTAAACATCCATCTATGGTGCTTTTTTAGTTTGTTGCAGGGGTTTTTGCTTTGCTACTTTGCTGTTTGTTTTTTAGTTGGTTTCTCACAAATCTTTGATAGTGTTAGCAAATGATTGGGCATGCATCTCTGTGCTAACATTGTTGGAATTGATTTATTTCGTTATGATACTCTTTGTCCTTATCATTTTTTTTTATTGATGTAATATTTTTTATTTTCATCAAAAAGGTTCTTTCTTTTGCCAATAAAAAAAAAAAAATCCATTTATAGTTTAGATTGATTTATATGATTACCCTACAATTAATTACCCAGAAAATTATCGGTCGCACTATAACGTTTCTGAATAACAAATGCAACTAAGATGTGGAACCTTAAATTGTGACCCTTTTTTCCAAATTTTTCTCACAAAAATTTCATTTTAATCAAATGCTTACAATAAATGTATATGTTTCTTTACTTCACTCTCTTTTAATTTCACTTTTCACAATTTTTTGAAGTTTAAAACCCACAAAAAAACAAAAACAAAAACAAAACAAAAAAAACAAAGAAACAGAGTCTAAAAGATTGATCTCAGAGTAATTGATGTGTACAGTTATTATTACAGGTGTAGTTCATCAACTTGCAATAGAGTTCGACACGTACAAGAATGAATTCGACCCGGATGATAACCACATCGCAATTGACACCGTAAGCGTACAAAGCCCGGTTGCGGTGAAGAGCCTCAACAGCACCGGAATAAATCTCAAGACGGGTAGAGAAATAACGGTTCGGGTCGAATATAATGGGTGGACCAAGAATCTTCAGATTTTTGTCGGGTATAATGGGGATCCACTAGTGAGCTTTCTCAATCATACAATGAAGTTGCGGCATACAGTTCCTAGCCCTGTTTACGTGGGCTTCACAGCCGCCACAGGTACCCAATTATTTATACTAAATGCATATTTTTTTTTTTCATTTTCCAAATTCTAATTATTTCATGAAATAGTGTTTTGGAAAATATGATTTTAGATTTCAAAAATCACCACAAGAAATCAGTTTTTTAGAGACAAATTTATTTTGTCCCTAAAAATGGAATATTTATTGGGACAAAAGCCAACAAATTTCCTCCCTCACAGAGTTAGTCCGAAATGGTCCGTATGAAAAAGCCAAAACTTGATTATTAGAGACAAAATTTTACATTGGCCACTATAAATAGATTTTTTGAGACAAAATATATGGTTGTAAAAAGTTTTGGCCTAGCAATTACTCTTCATCAACCGTCTCGGCGTTCATACTTTTTGGCCCAAACATGCTTCCCATTGATCCGAAACTTTGCAATACTACTACCCTTCAAAATGTCATCCACAATTGAAACACCACGAACTACCATTCGAGCAAACAAAGGTTGATCGACCGAGTTAGACTCGTCCATATAAACATTGTCGACACAATCGCCAAAACACCCCATAAAAAGCTCCTTAACTTCGCTTTCACTAACCGGGTACCCTCTTGAGAAAGTCAAGAACATGGTTCGATCATCCACCGAAACTTTAATCTCATGCGACCAGCCCCATAGCCCTCCGGTTGGCAAGTGATGGCTGAGGGGCAGTGAAATGACCGTTATATTCCTGAAAATCAGATGAGGAAAACTCATAACAGGAAGTGGCTGATTAAGAGAACCCAAAACCTGTTGTAAAATGTCTGTGAAAATTAGGGAACAGACATTGTTGAGGAAGGTTTTGATTTCAGCTATGGCGGTGAACTTGATGTGGGTGATCATGGGCACAGAGATGGGTTTTCCTATGATTTTGGCTGTGACTGACATGGTGGATTCGGAAGGGGAAGTGAAGGCGGTTTTGGACTCGAGAGCTTGGAGACAGGTTGTGGCTTCGTCGGCCATGGCGTTGAGGATGAAGTCTGATCTGTTGCGCAATTTTGCTATGATGTTTGGGAATCTCTTCACTTCTAGCCAGAGCCATAGGGCCATTACTAGGAGAGACTGTCCTGGATCTCGCATGAGGTGGATGATGAGCCTAGAGAAGATTTCTCTGTCTGCTGTGTGGAAAAGATGGAGATCCTCAATGGTGATTGAGGCCATTGTTGGAGCTTGAGTTGTTTTCAGGGCTTTTATGCATTACTGTTACGTACTACCATGCTTGTATCGAACAAAACAAAAAGAGCATTGCTATTTAAACCAAAAATTAGACTTGCTTTCTAAATTTAATGATATGATACTTTATTAAAATATTTAAGTCAATTAATTCTCTTATTTATTCTCTAATTATCAAATTAATCATCTTATTGACATATTACTAGGTCTAAAAAATGGGTCTATAAAGTTGGGTTGTATTTTATTGACATAGAAAAAATATTTTTGTTTTTGTTTTTCGGTATTTAGTTGACACTTAAAACAAAAATATTTTGTTGCCTAAAAGAGAAATTTTGATTTAATAACGTGTCATTTATGACTTTTTAGTAAGGTAATATATTTATTTGAAAAAGTTAATTGTATTGAAAATGTAGTAAGTCAGAGTCTAACTTTGTAAAAATTGACTTACCAAATTTTTAAAAGTAAGTCATTTTTGAAAAAATAAAGCAATAATATTTTCCATAAAAAAAATTTTATTTGCTTTTTGGTCAACCAAACAACATAAAATGAATCAAAAATATTTTATCTTAAGCCAAACGAAACCCAAATGTTAAATTATTTAGTGATAAATGTCATCATAATTCTAACACGTGTTAAAATTAAATTTTGAGACACATGTTAGAATTAAATTTTGAGACACCTATGAAATTAAATTTTGAGAGACGTGTTAGAATTAAATTTTGAGACGCGTTTCAGAATTAAATTTTGAGACACGTTTTAAAACTAAATACAGATGTTTTATAAAAAATGTGACTTATATGATGTGAGATCCACATGTAGAACCCACCTTATTTTGTGAGACATAGTTATTCATTTTGTGTTTGATCATATATTGATAACTTATTTAAGGTTAGAGCATCTCCAATAGATATACTATTATCAATTTTTAACTATTTTAGAGAGTGAGAAATCTAAAAATCATCCCCAACAAAATCTAAAAATCATCCCCAACAAACTACTTAAAAAGTTCCCTAATTTAACAAATACTGTAGTAACTCCTAATATTTGGAAAGTCATTATTCATTCTCTAAACATAATATTAATTTCTCTCTTCTCCTTTTTTTTCTTTATTCTCTCTAATCTAATTGTCACGTTAACTTTCTAAAAAATAAGTTTAATTGAAAAAGAATAATAAAATAATATTTAAATAAAGTAGAGAAAGAATAAGGAGTATTGTTAGAGAAAGAAATTGAAAAAGTGATCATCTAAAATACGGAATGCTCAATTTGAAAAAAATATAAGTAACATTGTTGTTGATGCTTTTAGACTTGATAATTTAATGAATTTGAAAATGTGTTTAAATTTGATTTATTTGTTTTTAAATTAAATCCAAACAATCTTTAATAGAGTTGATCACGCGCCAAATTCAAGTATTTTGATTTTTATATTATATATAAAAGTTTAGCCAAGCCGAACTAACTAATAGATTGTTAAAGTTCAGTAATATTATATATCTAAAAAATAACCATGAAAAAATTATTAAGAATTTGAAATCTATAACAAGATTCACTCAATATTTAACCTCACAGCAAAAAATTTAAACAAAAACTGTAAATATAAAATTTATTGTAATTTCCTTGAACCTTATCTGGTTCCCTAAACTTTTCCTTTGAAGTTTTTTTTTTTTTTTTTGGAAAATTTAATCAATTTTAGAATGTGTTTAAATTGATATGTTTACATACAAGTTAGATACGAGCTGAATTTGATTTATTTTACAGTTTTAATTGTATTTTTTTTAATTCATAATTAAAAAGCTATAGATAAGATATGCAGAAAAAATAAGTGTTCAAAATTTAAAATTTTAAATAGATTTAAAATTAATATAATGTGATGCTCAGATTCATTTATTTTAAACGCAAAGAAATTTTCTAATTAACATTTTTTATTTTAAATATGCAGTAATATTAGTGGGCAATGATAGAGCAACCTAATTAATAGAAAATCTGTCAAACAGGTCAGCTCCTAAAATAACCAAACACTTGAATCAATTAATGTGAGTTTCAAATTTAAATTTTGAAATGACAATATTGTCCATGCTAGCCTCATGAAG